CAAGGACGGGGCCCAGACCGTGCAGAAACACGCCGAGGGTTTGGTCGACGAGGGAAAGCAGCAGCTTCGGTCCTTCCAGCGGAGTGTCGAGCAGAAGGCTGCAAAAGAGCGAAGCAGCAAGGGATGGCGCAGTTCGGCTTTCGATTTGTGATTTCTGGACTGTATTTTTACTGTAAAACTTCCTCTCTGTATATAAACGATGAAATGGAATGGGAATTACATCAAGACGTGTTTATAGACTACATTTGCGGGTTACTGCTACAATGTGATCGACCAAGCGACAATGTGAAGATAAGCCAATAAGTATACATCCGGCCTGCGCGTTCGTGCGTGTCTCATGAGCAGCATCGTCTAATGGGTTGCCATGACTGCGAGATTGAGCGCGCCCAGCACAATCTCGTAGGCCAAATGAACCGTGTCCCAAAGCGCGTCGTCGTCCACTCCCAGAGCGACCATGTCCTGCCAGAGCTCCTTAACATGGGCCGTATGGGTCATGAGTGCCTGCACGCTCCCGCCGCTGACGGAACAGACATGCGCAGCGAGTGCGTGACAGTCCCCCGGCGCCGAGAGGGTCGCGCGGACGGCTTTATGAGTCGTCAGCGCCTGCAGGAAGGTCGGCGGGAGCGGCAGCAGCGAGCCGAGGACGCCGGCCGGCCGGCGGGTGTACAGGAACGGAAGCAGGATCGCAAAGGCCGGCGCAGAGGGAAGCGCGAGCGGGAGGACGGGAAGGTGCAGAGTTGGGGCACCATGTGGTCGCGGTGCAGGCGGGGGCAATGCTGGTAGTTTGGGGCAGTGTGCTGCAAGGATGGGTGCGTGGATCGGGAAGATGAGGTGTGTGTCTGCTGGGTGCGAGGGAGACGTGTTGGCGATGGCCAGGATGTGGGTGGGGTAGATTGGCTGGACAGAGTCGTGGGTGGGGACCAAGGGAACGCCAAAGTAGGGTGGTAGACGCGATTTGGGAAGGGCAGTCGGGAGATGGTTGGTGGATAGTCCAGAAGTGCCGGCTAACATGCTAGATACATGTCAGCGATTTCACAGCAACAAGTTGATCGTCGGAAAACTAACTGTGCCGCGTTCTGGAAGAGATTTTTGCGGATGTCCTCGATGGAAAGAAGACCGAGGTCTGGAGAGGCGGCGAGTAACGCGGCGCGCGTAACCTTGGAGGAGGCCGGGCGTTCAAGAGTACGCGGGAGTTGGACGCTGGAGGGACGAGACCGGGCAGGCATGTTTAGGTGGTGGAGGAAGGATGGGTGTCGTTGGTTCGCGTTTGGTGGAGTTAGTATGCGACTAGGCCCCAGATTTATAGTTGCCTGACAATAACCGATTTGGATGTGTCGGGGGCTTCCTTCCTACTCTAGCCGGTCTTCGCGGTACCTGCGGGGTAAGGTGCATAATTGTCCAGAAGGGAGATCACATCACCTCTTATTATGGACATCAACCCCACCGGAGCTATTTGTTGTTGCGGCAAGACTGATACTTCCCGCTCTTGCGATCGCATTCTAGTGGGAGAGGGGTTGTCATCTGCGTACAAAGACCATTTCAAACAGCGCGTAAAATGACTGGACCGTACCGTAGGCGCCAGGGAATGAACTGGAGACTTGGATAGGATTATGTAATGCGATTATTGTTTTGTTCGCGCTTGATGCCCAATGTAGTCGTCTGCCACATTGGTTCTCCACCTCGATTCATTGTAGGCCGCTCACCTGTTCATTGTACGGCAATCTTGCATTCGCCATGTCACTTTTTCGGCGTGTAACACGCGCCTCACACGCTATTCTCTCCATCGCTCAAGGATTTTCGACACACGATGAATCTTGCTTGGCAAGCGCGTCGATTCTCTACTGTACACAATTAAGGTCCGATCAACAATCTGCTTCCGTAGTCAGTCGTGGCCGTATCTCGGTTAGGCCGGGCATGCGCACCTATACTGTACACGCTAAAACTCCAGGCCCATCTTGCGCTGCACAATCAACGCAGAGAGGAGAATATGGTCGAAGAAATCGTGGCCGTCGGGAAATATCGTTAGCACGGCTTCTGGCAGTGGCGGCGGTGCATCGAACGGCGGGGGTACAAACGAGGCAAGCTGCGTGGTCGATGCTAGTGTATAGCACTGTTGTCATAGAAGGATGAGAATCGCGGTCATGCAAAACAAAAGACAACGCAACAATACACATAGGCGAACCATCTTCTAGAGTCGTCCGACAGTCCCACCGCAAGCCAATGTCGTCCCACCTCCACGACCAATGTCGCTATTGTCGACGTCACACATACGGAGGGACAAAAACCAAGAACAAACGCACGGAAGAGGAATTTATGCTGTAGAGCACGTTCACGAGACGCGTTGTAACATCCCCAATCGTCACAATTGCACGGCGGTGGTTTAACGACAGCCTGCGCGTGTGTTAGATAGAACGACAGGAAGAAGACAATGAGGCGCACTCGAAATCCCCAATGAAAGCCTCTTGGGCATCTTGCAGACGATGTACTGTCGTCCGGTAGCATATCGGCACGAAGGGGTTGAGGTTCAGTGACACGGAAATACGGTAGCGTCCGTGATCCTCCGACTCGGTTGGTGGAACCATAATCACTGAGCTGCCGGGGTCATTGCCGTTCCCAAAGCCAGGTTGCGTGAAAGTATATATCAGCGGATTCTTGGGCTTGCGGACACGGGAGTATCGTGGTGGTTGGGAGCGGTTGGATGTCAGATAGCTGGAGGACAGTCAGCCCACTCCGACGAGCTGGTCGCGAAGGAAATTATAACACTCTGGGAGTTCGGCGGATCCATCGCTTCTCTGGCTGCTTATTGGCAGGACGGCAGGCGCTTGTGAGTCTGTGGCAAGGGTCAGCGCGGCCGTGGAGTGGAACAAGCACTCACTGAGGAGAATCATGGGGAAGATGGGGGCGGGAGACAAGGTCGAAGACGATGGCGGCTGTGTGTGACTGACTGTGATCGCTCTTTCGCACCTCTGACCATGGCCCTCACACTCGGGACCCCAGTCAACACAGCGCTCTTCCTTTTCATCCTCTATTCCGTCAGACGCATCGTATTCCCTTCCGTCTCCAAACCCAAATCCATCCCGCGCGAATTCAAAGCAGGCTACTCTTGGCTACCAAAGACACACCCGCCCACCGTCCTCTTCAAAACCTACACTACCCGCACCCTCGAACCCTTCAGCGGCAAGGACGGAGGACGTATTCTCCTTGCCATCTCCGGAATTGTCTTCGACGTGACTGCGGGCCGCAACTTCTACGGTCCCAGTGCGTTTTGTTGCGCTTGCCATGTTCGAAAACTGTGTAACTGAGCTTGTAGATGGGATGTACGGGAACTTTGCGGGCAGGGATGCATCGCGGGGAATGGCGAAACAGTCGTTTGACCTCGGTGCGCCGTAGGCCGCGTCTGCACTGACACCCATCTCACTCTGCGTCCCAGATATGCTGACGCCAGTCGACCAACCGCTCGACAAGCTGGAGGACTTGCAGCAGGACGAGATGTACGTGCACAGTCCACACCTATGTGTCTTGTGCTGAATCATTCCTCTCGCTCACTCAGTGACAATATGCGAGGTGGGTCTCCGCTACGTGTGCACTCCGCGACGAGAGCTAATACGATGCTTTCTAGGCTGGATTGACCACTTCTCCAACAAGTACATCGTCTGTGGCAAGCTTGTCGAAAATACCGCTATCTAGACGCAGCAGTATCGCTGCCCGTGAGGATTCTGTACCAATATGATCATTTTCTGCTTCAAAACCTCGCCGAGCCCATCCTTTCCTGCCGGAACAGCAAATCCAACGACGAAATATGACGCGTGCGCTGGAGGAGATCTTGTCTTCCAGCGTTGAGACTGTGAGAGACCTCGGAATATGTCCTCGAGGCGGCTCTTGCAATTCCTGTGGCATCTTTTGTTTTGCAACACACAACAAAGCATGCAATGGCGTCGACAAGTCGATCAATTCCGACAACTTCACGGATATCGACCGCCTTCTTTTTCCCCACTCCCGTCCATCCGCCCACCTGTGAATTCCAGCGGAAACGGGCGCTATATTACAGGCAATAAGTGCGCGGCATCAAGAGCAAAACGTGTAATATGCGAGAGTTTGACGAGGTGGAGACGCTGCTCGACCTGCCGTATCATTTTGCGCGGCAGGTCTGGTACAAACATCGGCGACTGTAGAATAGAGCATTCGCGTATAATAACTAGATACGCGTACAATACAATCCGTACAATCAATCCGCGAAGATGAAAGCTGACTCGCTCCGAAAAACAGTATATGAAAAACAGTACATTGCTACGCTACATATATCCTGCCCCTCGCGCACGTCCAATCGTATGACCGATGGTCCTCGACAACCGTTGGCGGGGATTCGCAGTTTTGAGAAGTGCGTGGAGATGTTTGAGGCTGGAGCTGAGTGAATTGGAACGTACGTGGATATCCTCTTTTCTGTGCTGCCCGATGCTCAAATTGTTCACAGGTCGTCAGCTGATCAGGCGCCGCCATCATGCAAAGTGTCGAAGCGACCTCGGGAGCATACCGAGGACCGTGTATTAGTAGTAAATTAAACAAGAGAGAGAGTCTTGAAAAGTGCGGATCAACACTGTTATACTAGTGATACAATTGGTGGACACACTAAAGCTCTGGCAAGCCCAGGCAAGCCAGGCCAAGCTATTTGGTCAAAATGAGCTTGAGCTGGCTTGCTCTGGCTTGCGCTGGCTTGATTTGATGCAGATTCAAGCTGGGCCAAGCCTAGTCAAGCTACCAAGATCCAGTTTTCACTGGGGCTCATAGAGCCAATAAATACTCTGGATACAGAAGAGAACAAAAAAAAAACATCTCACCACCTACAGTACTCGAAGGTCTTGAATCTCACCACCTTTCGGGCGAAGTCTGACGTCATCGCGTTTCGCTGACACATCACACTTGATGGCATCAAATAACAAATCCCCTTCGAACCTACGCTCCGTTTTCCCTCATTTTCAGCGCTCTGGCATGACACAAACCGGCCCCACTTGGCTAAGTGGTTACGGCGTGGCACTTGTAATTGCATTACTCATGCCAAGATCACTCGTTCAACTCGGGTAGTGGGCACATTTTGTCTTTTTTTGTTGGGAAAATAAGAAAAGATGAGGCCTAGCATCTTGTGACCTCTTGGTTTTTTTCACCACATCTTGTTGCATCTTTTAGAACCCAGTTCCACCATGTGTACTCTGTGAGCTCCAAGTCTTTTTTGAGTGTGACAAGTCAAGTCACAATACACACTCCTGCTCTCGACCGCCATCTCACCATGTACTTGCCCTTCACCATCCTCTTCTTCTCCTAAAGTCGTGCCTAGATGCACTCTCAAGTCGCTTGAAATTGGTGACCTCCAAATCCTGTCCGTCAACATCACAATATGTGCGTCCTATCCCTACAACTCAATACATCCTCCCTACGGTCTCTTGGCACATCCCATCTGCGATTGAGACCATGCAGGGGCTTATATGAAATCTGCAGAGGTAGACGACAAGAAGGAGGCCAGCTTTTGTCAAAAGCGCAATCATCGTGCCACCAATTACAACTTAATGTAAGATATAATCTGGAAGACGGCTCAAATCTGCACAGAACGGTACCAAAATCATCTATATCGGAGCAGAATTGAGCTTGGAATGGGAGACTGCTTCTTAGTTTTGGCTGTAATGTGTTGCAGGCGGGATTCAAATGCACATGACTTTGTACAGCCACCAGCAAACTCAGCACCCCCAACTTTGTCAGTTCTGAAAAATTATGTCTAGCTATTTTGTTGCTATGCATTTGGGCAAGAGGGTTAAGATATAGCATATTCACCCAAGGCTGGTACCATGCTTGAACTCCTAGCCCTAGCTAGGTTTAGGTACCCCATATTCAAATACAGTTTCATTTTTATCTTCACACTATTTGCCAACTACTCAAATACCCATGTGTATAAATGGCACCCAGCGCTCGCAGGGTACTTTCTTGCGTAGTTCCTTTATTGCCAAATGCAATGCCTCTGCCGCATCCTTTGCACCCGCCATACAGTCGCCATATGGGAAACGGGACACTCATGTTTGGAGGGCAATAGCACAATGGGATTTGATTCAAATGACATAATGACTACATATTGCGGAAGGCATACATCCTACCTCCCAGTGCATATGTTTGTCTTGTCAGGAGCTGCTCTGGATCGTGCACAATGTGCACTTCTTTCCGGTGACCAAAATCACCAGTTTTTCCCAGAAGCGGGACACACAGATTGACACCGGATCTCTTCAGACACCACGAGTGCAAGTGTTGGTAATGGCCCCGGGGACTTCCAGAGCACGTTCCCACAGCATAACTGTGGCACAGAGATAGAAACACAGTGCAACAACAAGCCATGATGCCAACAAGCGTTGGAACCTGCTATAGACAAGGTCCTTCACGGATATTGATGCCATTGCTCGGCCACCACTCAGCCGTCCAGGCTGAAATTTTGTACAGACCTGCATGCACTAGTCGTGAATATGCTCTCAAAAAATCACGCTCCCAAACCGCACAGCTTCCGAGATATTCGCGGTGTCCCACTACCGGTCCTGTCCCACTTCCCATTTAGCGACTGTATGGCCCTTGCGAAAAATATGCGAGTAGAAAAGCTCGGCCACCAGAGGTCCATCCTGATCAGCCATGGCCCACAAAGTCCCAACAGCACCCGAAAATCCTGCTGCAATAAACCCCCCTCCAAGGTGAAAGGATTCGTTCACAAGTTTGGTTGTTCCCATCGCAGTTTCACAAGCAGCAAGAAAAACCACCTCTTTATCCACCAATGGCATGTGCAGAATTTTATCCAGCTCTAATTTTCCACCGGAAAGCTCAAGATAGCTGCTGATTGGGTTGTCCGGCTCTTGTCTTGCGTGGCATGCGAGATGGATCCACGAGCAATTTTGAATGGCTTGTGCTGCTGCATCGACCGTTGCCGTTTCATCTTGCAGACGGACGATGCTGGATTCGGGAAGTGTGGTACAAATGCGCTGGACTTCATCTGGGACTGAGAAGAGTGCAGGCTTTGTAGACCCCCTCGCTCGAGTCGCCCCTATGATGCCAAGCTTTGGAGGAGACACTTCCTCTACTGGTTTTCTTGAATACACCTTGATAAGCGAGCCAAGTGTCGCAGTGTATGAAACAATAAAGTTGTCACAATCAGCAGGCGGACAAGCATGCAGGGGGAGTCCAGAAAAAGTGCCGGTGGGTAGCCACCACAGCCGTCCATTGGTAATCTCATTCTGAAGGGGAGTAAGTCAGAGCACAAATGTCCGCAACAAATCCTTACCAAATTTAAAGCCTCATAGACCGGACAAGCAATGTGGGTTCATAGCCAAGCCAACAAGTCTTTGTATTGCTCGTCTTGTGACTGCTCTCCTTCCCTCTTCCCACCCAACCTTGTACAAGCACGACGTCCATGTAGTTTTTCCAGAGTGGATTTCTTTAAACTGAGTGACTCCTTTGTGACCAAATTCGAAAATGCAACCCGTTTCGGAACTTTCCCAGGGTTGAGAATCATGATTGCATCGCAGCCAAAGTCGTGGCTATTCAGCATAACCACAGGCCCACCCTGCGATGCTTGAGAAAGGTCCTCATACAACATGGGCAAGAGAAACCGCTCCAAGCCAGGCTGCATTCGAATCTTCTCGAGCAGTTCGTTTCGCTCGCTGATCACCGAAAGAGAATGATCAGAACCTTGAGTGTAAAGCTCCTCAGAAAGTGTGCGGAAGGATTCAGCATACTCCTCAGGAACAACATCTATGTTTGTTCTGAGTTGGAACATTTGCTGGTATATCGTTCCCAGTCCCTGCTCTAGAAGCTCAATGGCAGTGGGAAGTTCAACGAGAGAGATAGACAAGCGAGCGGCAGCAGACGCAGCCTGCACAATATTGAGTCTTCCCAGTGCCTCATAACGCGTCGGGATCGTATTTCCCATCCAGAGGATCTCGGGAAGCAAGTGGAATGCACATTGCAAAGCCTCGACTGCATGTTTGATCTGGTTGTAACGCAACGATACTGCGGCCCACACTAGCGCGCTCTGCCAGGAGTCCTGGGGTGATGTGGTCGTCAAGTTGAACAAGGCACCATAGCAGTCATGGATGCGCTGGAGATCCTCCGGTTGTTGCAGCAGGTGGTATCTGTCCGTGTACGCAACTGCAAGGTTCTGCAAGCACTGCGATTTTTTAGGAGACAAGTCTGGCGCCATTTCCGCTGCCTCCCGCATGCATTGTATTGCCATATCGAGGTTTTCGAGGGTGCCTAGCTTCCTATATCGATCGCTATGGGCAGCGGCCAGGTTCTGCAGGCATGCCACTCTGTCTTGATCGGTCTTGGGAATAAGATTGAGTGCAGTGCGACTGTGTTCTAGTCCGGCTTCGAGGTCCTTGAGGCCCCCATATTTTCGATAGCGGTCATTGTATGAGGAAGCAAGGTTGATTAACCGCGGTGCCCGCATTGGGCTGTCCTGTGGAGTAAGTTCGACCGCCAGCAAGTTACACTTGATTCCGAGTTCCAAATCTTCACCGGTGTTTAAAGCCCTGTACTTTTCTCCGTAGGATAAGCCCAGTTTTTCGAAGCATTGTGCTTTCAAGTCAGTCTGAGAGTCTGTGTCTGGCTCCATGGCGAGGCCAAGTGCAGTCTCACGAAGTTTCAAAGCTGTATGAAGATCTTCTTGATTTCTGAATCGCTGGTAGCGCTCAGAGTGTGTGCTTGCGAGACTTTGGAGCTGATTGATGCTCCAAATCTTGCCTGCTGCGTCATCGCCCCCCAACTCCACCGCATAGACAATTCGTGCCTTGAGGTATTTCAAGTCTGCTGAGGCATCGTATCGATGTCCAAGAAGCATGACAAGGGTTGATAGACGGGAAGATCTGGCCGGGTGGTCGCTGGGAGTCAACTCTAGAGAGACTTTCGCCCAGTTCACCGCCGTGTCGAGATCACCCAGTAGGCTGTGAACCTCGTACCAATAGAAGTATGAGGTAGCGAGGTTGTGCAGGTGCCAAGCTCTGGAAGGATGTTCGGCAGGAATGAGGCTGAGCGCAGTTTCTTTGTAGTGCAACCCAATCTCCATGTCACGTCGATCGGAGAGACGTCTGTATCGGTTGGTGTAATAAACTCCAAGATTTTGCAGATGCTCCGCGCGCCATTCGTGATCATCCTCCGGAGTCAAGTCCAAAGTCATATGCGATAAGTGTAGTGCAGAGTTAAAGTCTTCCACGTTGCCCCCGGCGTCATAACGATCACTGTAGGCAGCTTCGAGATGGCGCAGATATCTTGGCCACGCCGGATTATCCACTGGAGTTGCATCGGCGGCTTTGCGCTTGTGCTCCAACGCCCAGTCAAGATGCTTTATGTTGCCGGAGACCTTGTATTTCTCATGGAAGAATTCTCCAAGACCCTGATGATATCCTCCTACAAAATCCAAGTAGGAAAGTTCCAGTCGATGGACGATCGAACCCTGGGACGATTTGTCATTTTTCTTTTGCGTATTCGAAGACATACCATGAGCCTATAGGCAGGTCCAAGATACTTCTTCAAACGGGTGCTGGATAGCGCCTATGTTAAGATCAGCTCAGTAGCAAGCGATAGAAGTAGCAGTCCGCACGAGAAATCTCAGTTTGGTGGAAAGTCGGAACAAGCGCTCACAGATAGTTCGCCACATGGTGCAGGCGTTATGAAAAGAGCGTGTGCTGGAGCCTTTAAGTACTTTCGTTGAGCTCAAAAAGTCCTAATGTGATCAAAATCTGTCATCTGTCCGTCCAGAGATTAGTAAAAATGAAGAGTGCTCGACTCGGATGTTGAACTGCAACAAGTAAAAGACTAGACCAATGAGAGATCCAGACCATTAGATTGTATTCTGCGCAAAAGCGAGAGCCGTATAGCGTACTATCGATTCTGAGGAATCGTCGGAACGTCAAAACACTGCCCTGTGGCGCGAGCGCTAATTCGTGCTGAACTAGCATTCCGGATGTCCTGCAGAATGCTTGGCACATCACCCGACGCAACAAAGTATTTGTGCCCAGGTCAAAGTCAGCGACGAGCAATGTATCACCGCAAGGCGACTTGAGGGCTCG